TAGCTTTCTATCCTTAGGCTGTGGTAAGGGGATGGTGGATAAATTTCTAACTTGAGCTGATTATGTGCTAAGAAAACAGTGGCAGACACAGATGGGGAAAAAGCTCACAGGTGCAAGTGACACTATTGCAGACAGAAGCCTTCTAAAAACAAAACACATTTCTTGTCAATTCCTGCAGGCACGTCCAGTCTCTGCATAATAATTTCCTACCATCTCAAGCCACTTGAGAAACATCCCTGAGGGCAGATTTGGATACAAAGTGGGAATGATAGGCAGCCTACTTTCTTCAGTGTAAAAAAATCAGCTCAAACCTTCATGCATCTGTGAAAATGAACCGAAGCCTTTTCTGAACTTAAGAAAAAGTTTGATTAATCTCTCCATCCTCCCATAACCCTTATAGGGCTTCTCTCCATGCTAAATATACAGTGTTGCTGAGCCATGCCAGTCCCAAGCTCTGTGTAAACTCCAAAAGCTTGTTTGCTCACCAACAGAAGTTGGTTCAATAAAAGATATTACCTCACTCCCACCTTATCTCTGCATGGTAAATAGTCACTGGAGGGAAGGCAGGCATCCCAACCACCTCCCTCTGTACAAATATGATGGTCATTTTCAGAGACAGGTCACTCCTCCTCTCACAGCAATTGTTCTTCCTATTGGAGACCAGATTAACCCATTCGTTCTTCCCCAAACTAAATTATCTTTGAATAGTTGCTCATTCCACTCTGAGCTAATGTCATCTTGTGGAAGAGAAGTGACACAGTTTATTGCCTACTACCAGTAACAGTATGTGTATATTAGGGGTGTGACTAACTCATCTTCTTGGAATCACTGGAATGATTCTATTTACTCTTCTTGTCTTATGGCTCTCCCTTGATATGTACAATTCACATTGCATGACAGTTCTGAAGCCTCAGAACTCATAGTTTTGGGGATAAAAATTGCAACACCATCATGCAAAGACCAAGTATGATAAAAGCCTCATTGGCAAGGCCCTGTTGTGGACTAAAGGATACCACAAGAGCTGTTTCCTTATGGAAGCTGACATTTTTAGCTTCACCCTATTTGCTTCTGTTGGCCCTTTCATTTCTCCTTTTTTTGATCAGCCAAAGGGCTATATACAGCAAACATATGCTCAAATTGAATTTTACTCTAGGAGAATACATGGTGAATTCAAAACATGGTATGGATTGGGATATGAATTTTTGTTATGACTTTTAAGACCTTTAGAGGGTATGAAAAGAAACCCTCAGAAGTCTCTCTCAGTGGAAAAAAAAAAAGATTCCATAATTCTGACCAGTCTCCAATTCCATAATAGTCCCCGTTTTTCTTAGAGGAAATATTGTGTCTTCACTCCGACACAGATGAAAAAAGAATGAAAAGGAGAAGGTATTGATGCATGTTAGTAACACTGTCTTGAAAAAGATCCATTGCAAAGTATAACTGACTCATAGTAAAACAACTCTTATGCTATAGGTAAACTTATGAATCTCAGAACTGTTAAGTATTTTGATGTATACATTGTATTCTGAGCTTTTGAACTATCTAGACCTTTATACCATGCTGATCGTTGTGCTATCTGACCTTTTTATACTTTTTACTAACAGAATAACTCGGCTTTGGGAGAGAGCGCACACCCTGACTGCTGCCTACTCCCTGGGTCAGCCCAAGGGAGGGGAACAAGCATCATGGTTGTAGGCTTTGTTCAGACCTGATCCTGGGAACAGGCTGGCCCTGGGGTAGAGGGAGCCATACAGTGCTGCCGACGCTCCCTAGGCCTGGTCTAGGGGCAGGTGGGCTGCACAATGGCCAGCAGTTGTTCCCTTGGGCATGTCAGGGTGTTGGCTGCCAGCCAGTGGCTTCCCACTGGGGCACTTGCTACCCTCTGTGGTCTTTATAAATCCTTCCTACCAGACTCCTCTTTTCATTTCATAAAAAACAAGCGATCAAATTCCAGGCATATTCCATTGTTCTGGCACAACCAAGCCCTGGCCTTGCTTTAAAGTTAGGATAAGAAGTATCTGCATGCCAAATTTGGTGATCCTAGCTCTTATCATTTTGGAGTTCTTGAACAAATGAAATCACAGATGGACACGCAGATGCACATTCTAAAATGTATAGATTAATCTGTGGTATAAAGGAGTGCATGAAGAAACAGTCATTTACTATGTTGTATCCCAGGTACTTTGCCAAAGACAGAAAGATCCAAGATTACAATTTTCTCCAAATATCCTCCTAACACGATTTGTTTTGTCTTACAGCATGTAAAGAAAATGTTAATACTGAAATTATCAGTGCCTTTTGGGCTTATTTTCATGTTTCAGTACAATTTTGTTTAATGTTATGAAATTGCTTGTAAAGTACTGTTGCACTGTCCTGGTTTGGTGGTGCATAAACATGGGGATTAAGATAAAAATCATTTTCACCTTGTAAGCCAATCCAATTTTGCAGAAACAATGCTTTGTTTGAAGCAGAGAGAGGGCAATAGCCTCAAACTTCACAGTGCTGGGACACGATTTTCTTTAAACTTGGATTCCTTGACAAGGTGAAATGAAATAATCCATTAGCATCACTTATTTCATTTTTCCACCTATATAGTCAGACAAGAACACAGACAACCAGAGTACTGCAATCCCCTAAGTACAGCAGCAACATTTTTATGGCCAAGATAACAATTTAAACAGGAAATCCAGGGTACTCCAGATAAGATCAGATTCTTTGATCATTAGCCAGAATGAAGACTTGAACTCATCTGCTACAGATGAAAGCTTGCAATACCCAAATCTACAATCTACAGACACTACATTGATCTGATTGCTCATACAAAAGTGAAATTCTCGATGCCGATAGAGTGAATTGCTGACCAGTCAGCTGTAATGAGGCATAGTTACCTCATTCCGGCACAGAAGGGTGTAACTAACTCATCCTATTGAGCTGAGGTAAGCCTATCCGCACTCCTTCCCCTTCTCCTGCAGCAGAAAGTGCAAGGGTAGGACCAGAAATATAAGAGCAAGGACATGGAACTCATTTGGGATCAGACCGAAAAAGCCAGACATCCTTCCCTGGGAGCTGAATTGCCAGCATAGCCCACAACTCAGAAAGCCAGTCACTGCCCCGGGAGACTGAGAAATCCAAAGAGAGCTGGGAGTGAGCTGCTCAGCAGGAGGACTGGGAACCAGGCCCCAGCAGCAGCGAAGCAGGCTCACAAGACATCAATAGAAAGTAGCACAGGAAAACAAGACATTGGTCCTGTTGCTCTGTAGGCAGGTGTAGCAATGATCCTGTATTTGCCCACCAGACCTGTGACAGGATCACCCATTGCTTGTAGGGCTGGGACCTGGCGGATAAGAGTTCCTGAGGCACAGAAAATTTAGGTCACCATGAAAAAACCATCAGCAACTGGTACTGCACAATCACTCTTCATGGTCCCTGGATACTCTTCACGCGAGAGAGGAGGAGCCAGAGATACCAAGGTGTACCATACAAGGTCTCCTTTTTCTACTGTTTCAGGAATTCCATCAAAGTGTCCTGACCAATGTTTTGCAATCTCTGTTTAAATATGGTTTATATTGACAGCAGATGACTTTCTTTGTGAGCCTCCAGACACTGTCAAGGAATAAGAAATCCTCCGGAAAAGGGCTTATTTTCAAGTAGGAATAAGAAATCCTCCGGAAAAGGGCTTATTTTCAAGTAGGAATAAGAAATCCTCCGGAAAAGGGCTTATTTTCAAGTAGGAATAAGAAATCCTCCGGAAAAGGGCTTATTTTCAAGTAGGAATAAGAAATCCTCCGGAAAAGGGCTTATTTTCAAGTAGGAATAAGAAATCCTCCGGAAAAGGGCTTATTTTCAAGTAGGAATAAGAAATCCTCCGGAAAAGGGCTTATTTTCAAGTAGGAATAAGAAATCCTCCGGAAAAGGGCTTATTTTCCGGAGAATCGCGTCTAGAAATTCTGACTCGTCTCATAAGCATCCCTTTTCCGGAAAGGGATGCCAATGTAGATGTAGCCCAAATGTATAAATACATCTATCCCAAGAAGACATGTTTTTAATCCTTCAGTCATTCTCGTTATTCTTCCTAAAAGCTCTTCAATTTTCAATATTTTTTGTGAGCACCAGAACCGGACAGAATTATATTATTCTTCCTAAAAGCTCTTCAATTTTCAATATTTTTTGTGAGCACCACAACCGGACAGAATTATATCAGTGGTTGTACCAGTGCCAAATACAGAAGGAAAATTACCTCTGTATTTGTACTCAATAGCTCCCTTTTTATGCATCCCAGGATCACACTAGCAGTTTTGGACACAGAGTCATACTGGGAACTTATGTTCAGCTGATGATCCACCACCATCCCAGACTCTTCAGTCACTATGTCCCAGAATGGGGTCTCCCGTCTGGTAAGTATTACCTGCATTTTTTCTCTCAAATGTATGTGTTTGCCTGTATTAAAAGGCATATTGTTTGCTTTCAACCAGTTTAGCAAATGATCTAGATGGCTGTCAGGGATATGTTCTCTTTATTGTTTACCACTCCCTAAACTGTTGTTTCATCTGCAAACTTTGTCTGAAGCAATGAGTGTTTTCCTTCAGGTTATTAATAAAAAAAAGTTGAAATATTGTAGGACCCAGACCCAGTTTCTACAGGACTCCACTGCAGCCATATCTCCTCAATGACAATTCCCATTCCCGTTTACATTTTGAGACCTTTATATTTAATATGTGCTGTGTTAATTTTATATTTTTTAATCAAAGCCATGTACTTCTAAGTCAAACACCTTACAGCAGTCTAAGTAAATCACATCAACACTACTACCTTTATCAGCAAGACTTGTAACCTTTTTAAAAAGTCTGAGGTTAGTTTGACAGGGCCTTTCTTCCAAAAACCTCTGTTGATTTGAATTAATTTGTTATTCTATTCTAGTTCTTTATAAATTGAATGCAGGTGAGTTGACAGCTTCCACAGGTTCCTAGGCAAGGGGTTCGGGGTGGTTTCATGCTTCCAGAAGGACAGGCTGAAGGGGCAGGGCCAGGGACAGCTTGCCCTCCATGCTGCCCAAAGTGTGGTGTACTCCTCCCAGCCTCAGAGCCATACAGAGCATGCAGCACAGTGCTCCGGTAGTAATTGAAGGGTCCAGGACTCTGGCCACTGCTGCAATAGCAGTGGCAGCAGCTGGGAGCCCCAGGCCCTTTGAATTGTCAGACCACAGGGCAACTGCCCCCTTTATCCCCTGACTCCCATTGGCAGCCCTATTTGACTCCTGTGCCAATTGCCCCATTATTTTGTCTAGGATCCATTGTCAGGCTGCAAAGCCTATAGCTACCTGGTTTATCCTAGTTACCCTTTAAAAAAATCAGTACATTCACTGTCTTCCAGTTTACTTTTTAAATACTCTAAGACTTATTGAAAAATCAACATTAACGATTCAAGGAGCATATCAGCCAGCTCTTTTAAAACTCTTGGATTCACGTTCTCTGGACCTGATGATTTACAAATGTTTAATTGTAACTGTTTAACATCTTCCACCAATAATAATGGAATAGGAGTGTTATCACATATGATGAGACTGTACCATCTGCTTTTTTTCCTGAAATTCAAAAGATATTTAGTGAACACATGTGCCTTTTTTCTTTTGCATTAACACTGATACTTCTACTATTTCCATCTAGTAATGGAACAATACCATTGCCAGGATTCTTTTCATTCCTAATATATGTTAAAACTCCATATTCCCTTTAGCTCTGCTGGCCATAGGTTTCTCCTTTTTTCCCTTAGTTTCTGTGGAATTATGATTCTTATAATGCAATTTCAAATAATGAAATGATAGCTGCATAATGTGAATGAGACTACCTTCTTTTGCTCCTCCATTTACTTACTTATCTTTGCTTTAATTAAATTTAACTGGCATTTCTCTGACATTCATCCCAATACTCAACTGAGTATCTGCTTATAATTGTATTTAACTGAAAGACAAGAAATTGTAAATCTGTATTGGAAGTGAAAAGGATCTTTTGGATTTACTGTGTACATGGAAAATGCATAGTTACAGAGCATTAATGGATGACTTGTATAACTAAGGATTTTATTCATCTCTCTTTTGCTCTGTCAAATCTATGTAACTCCGTTGACACAGATATAAAATTAATGTAATGGAGTAGTGATAGGACAAATGCCTATACAATTTTTAGGGAATATTGTATGAAGGATGGAGTTTTTATTCTGATCCCACAAGACTCTGGTCTGTTGATAAATACAGGTAGTCATTCCAAAATGTATACTAACCACCGTAACTCCTACTCCACTAGCAATGTTGTTTATTTGTTGCATATATTTGTTACTGTCATGTTTAAAAAACAAGAATGATTTTTTTTATTTGAACATAGAACCTATATTCAGTCAAGATCAGACAGTATTTAGAGTGTCTGTTATAGGGATAAATTCAATATGTAAAAAAAGAAACACTACTGATGAAAGAGTAATAGAAAAAGCAAATCAAAAGCTAACCAGCCATGACTGCTTTATTATTTCCAAATGAAATGCAAGCATTTGGATCTTGGTTATTTGGATGCTTGAATATAACTTACACTTTCATCCCCACTGTCCCTCCCTCCCATACACACACACAATCACTGTAAAAACAACCATCATCAGTGACTGCTTTTAACAATCTAATGGGTTTGAGGAGGCTTTGATGCAAATCATAAACAACTGAAAAATTGAAGATGCTTCCTGGCTTCAGGTATATACTTTGCCTTGCTATTTAAAATAATGATCAGCATCTTATGTTTAGGCAAGAAAAGTGATAATTGTGATAGATGCTAAATTGCTTCACAAATGCTTGTTTATCAATGGTCATATTCCCTACTTGAGTGGTAACATAATAAACGGACACAAACCAAGTTATGGACCCCAAGTGGCAGCAAGACTGCCTGAAACAGAGGTGCATCAATGCAAAGCATCCCCAATTCCTGCTCCAATAAGAAGGACTGAGGTGCCACCTTAAAAATAGATGGGCTGTCTTGTGGGGATATGGTCAGGCAAGATTTACTGAACAACAAAGGGGAAAAAAAAGTAGAACTATCCACCATTGGGATGAATTTTCTTCCTCAATCCCACATCTAGTTTAGCTACCTCTAAAGCACAAAGGGTGCAAAACTGAACCTTGGTACACATAGCGTCCGTTGTACAAACTGTGGAGAAGATCACACCCATGCTCAGGGACATGGTAGAGGCCAAGTGAAGAGTATGGGTGGATCCTGTTCATAGCACTAGATGGTTAGAGAGAGACACTGTGGACAATATGTTCTGCTGTAGGTGAATCGCCAGCCCAAGCTTCATTTTTCAGCTGCCAGGAAATTTTGAGTAAGACTTCTTTTAATGCTGACATTTCAGTTTTCTAAGGTTTGGTCAGAATTGCAATTGTATTGTCGCATGTATTTTAAATCAATTCTACATATGTATTTTAATTCTATGTGCATGCCTGTATTCTTCCCCTTCCTCTTCCCCCTTCCCCTCCCAAAAATGGTGAGGAACAAAATGAGGTCTGAACTTCAAATTAAGGCCTCATACTTCTCTTGAAACTTAATTTTAACAGCACTTTTTGAAAAAAAAAAGATTTTAATGTAAAAACCATGGTTTGTAATAGATCTTTGTAGAAAGGTAGGGACCTTCACATTTTAGTCTTACAATGTGAAGTCTTCACATTTTAGTCTTACAAATACTGGTGTAAATCTTCAGTAACTGCTAACTACAATCCTTATTTTTCCCTCCTCATTCAGCTGTGATTAGCATAGTCTTTAACAATTCTGTTAATGTTTCTGGTATCACAGTGTGTACTTAAGAATCATGCACTCAGTATTCCAAAAGTTCTTATGAAAATGTTGATGGATAATACTTATGGCCATTTTGCAGAACTTTTACTAAACTAAACATTGTGATGATTTAAAAAATAAATATTTATGTGACTTCAGTATGCAGGAAAGCCCTGGGGCCTGCATTACCCTACAGAATAGATACATCATGCTAATAATGTGCTTCCCTACTGTCCCAGAGGGAACCATTCAAAGAATACTAGAACTGGAAGGAGGTCATGAAGCCCAGTCCCCGGCACTCATGGCATAAACAAGCACCATCTAGGCCAGAGGTATCAAACTCCTGGTCCATGAGTCATCCCAGCTGGAGGAGTTGCACAATCCAACACAAGAGTCCTGGCGGGCTGGGGGGATGGGACTATCCATTCCCCATGTCTCACTCCTTCCCATCACTGCCCCATTCTCTCCTCCCCACTCCTTGATATCCCATCTACAGATTACTGATGGGCCTGGTACAAGGCAGCAGCAGCATTCAGCCCCTGCTGCCCTCCCATCCCAGTACCTGGGGAAACAGAGTGAAGTGTGCCACTAAGTGTGCTCTACTTCCCCAAAGCAGAAGAATTATTTCCCATGTCTTGTTTATGCCACTCTTGTTAATAAATCCCATAATGATATTTGGTTGTGGTTTGTTTGTTTGCAATAATATCATTCTGTTAATTTGTATTTAGCTTGTGATCCACTATGGCCCTTGGGTTCCTTTCTGCAGTACTCCTCCCTAGACAGTCATTTCCCATTTTGTATGTTTGCAACCGATTGTTTCTTCGTAAGTGCCGTACTTTGCATTTCTCTTTACTGAATTTCCTCTTATTTACTTCAGACCATTTCTCCAGATCATTTTGAATTGTAATCTTATCATCCAAAGCACTTGCAACCTCTTCAGCTTGGTATCATCCACAAACTTTGTAAGTGTACTTCTCTGTCACTACCTAACTCAGTGATGAAGATATTGAACAGAACCAGTCCTAAATTGATCCCTGTGGAAGCCCATTCATTATGCCTTTCCAGCATGACTGAAACAGAGAATTACACACACCTTCCAGTAGCTCTGTCTAGGTTGTATCTAAAGTCTAGATATACCTTATCTACCTCTTCCCCCTTATCTACAGGGCTTGTTATCTTGTCAAAGAAAGCTATCAGGTTGGTTTGACATGATTTGTTCTTTACAAATCCATGCTTACTGTTATTTATCACCTTATCTTCCAGATGGATTTCTTAATTATTTGCTGCATTATTTTTACTGGTAGAGAAATTAAGCTGATCGGTCTGTAATTCCTTGGATTATTCTTATTTCATGTGTTCTAGATGGGCACTATATCTGTCCTTTTCTAGTCTTCTGCAATCTCTTCTGTATTCCATGACTTTTCAAAGATAATCACTATTGGCTCATATCTCCTCAATCAGCTCTTTGGAAGCATTTCATCAGATGACTTGATATTTACCTTGTCTATGTAATTTTTAACATGTTCTTTTCCTATTTTAGGTTCTAACCTTCCCTCATTTTCACTGGCATTCAATATTTTAGACTTCTA